ACTAACTTCAAAAATAACTGGCTTTATTATCTTTATCTTGGGCAAAAAACGATATATATTTCAGTGATTACGGATTAATTCAACAATTGTGTATCAAAAATCTCATTGGCGTACACGATGTTATAGAAAAATTAATTAATACAGCCTCGTTTTGAAGACATTTGACGACGAAAGAGTGATTTTTAAATTGTTTACGAGCGAATGGATCTACGACCATAACGAGGTAAGTGCCATTACTGTATCTACCATTTCTATTTAACTGTGCATCGTGATAATCGCAATTTATCGACAAATCCAAACACTTTCTCAAAAAATAGATGTGTTGGAGATGGTGGCGTGGCCGTAATAATCGAAGCGCATGTGGCAAACGATTCGCAATCGTCGGCACAATTGTTCCACTTGTCCATCTCTCTCTCTCTCTCTCTCTCTCTCTCTCTCTCTCTATATATATATATATATATATATATATATATATATATATATATATATATATATAACGAGCGGGCGAAGAATCGCTCGCGTGTGCCAATAATTAGCATAATAAACTGCGCTACTCCCACAGTTCCGTAAAGATCAACTTGCCCGATTATGTGCGCGGCATCCTTTTCCAGTTGCGTAATTAGTGCGTTGTTTCATAGGCCTTTAAGCATGATTCTACGGGGGACTTGGTCGCTATTTTTTGCCGCATCGGTAAAAAATACTTCAACTTCACATGTATAATGGACGTTCTGCTCATAGTACTGAATTGTGCATAAATATGCAATTCTATTGTCTGGATTAGGGCATTTGTTTTTACCGAAGCCAGCGGTTATTACTTTAACGCTTCCTTACTGTTTACCTCCCTTACAGATGTATTTATTGTTAGTATTAAGCGGAAGTTGAAGATAATAGGCAGTTTAATCGAGCACGAAAAGAAAAATACTTATTCGTGTAAAGACATTGGATTGATTAGGGATGATTATTTATGAGGTAGAGTCGAAGGGAGAAGAGATGAACTTTATAATGATGAACCGGAGTGTTTGCGTAGACGTTAAGCTGAAGGATTTCGCTATGTTGTCCATGTTTTTCTCCTGTCGATGAAAATGAAAAGAAATAAGCAGCTCTTTTCTTCCAAGTTAACTACAACATGTCACTCGACGCACACTCGCGTCACAAAGCTCATAGATAATTGAAAGGTGAGTAATTACAAACTATGCATTGCAGCGCGTAATATATCTCTATCGATTAGAATTTCAAGGTGCTGGTAAAGTTCGTTTTTCACGGCCGTTACTCAAGAAGCAACAAGAGCGGCGGCGCATCGTATGTACTTAATCTAATTTAACTTGCCTGCCCGAGAGCAGACGGTTCCGAGTCAGGGTTTTCTGCATAAAGCTGCACGCACATAAATTTTCGCGCTTATTTCAGTTAAGCCGAAAGACGATTTAGAATTGGGATCACGTAGGGGAGCTATAGTCGTAGCCTCAATTTTTAATTAAAAGTCGACGTAGCAGCAGAGAGCTGTCATAGTCTCCTTAAGTCTCATTTCCACGTGTTAAAGTGCTTCGAATCTTGATTGATATTTCATGTTTATTAATAGTTTTATAGTTGGTATAGTTTGCCGTGAGATAAATTCGTATTATAGGGTTTTCGTAATATGCAATTGCTGTTCCATGAGCTTGCGAAAAAAAATGCAAAAGCGTTTGAGATTTACAGGCTGGCTTTCTCTCTCTCTCTTTTTCTCTTCTGGTTATTCTTTTTTCACCCAATATTAATAAATATCATATTAAAATCTAACATAGATTACATATATTTCAATTTTATGATATTTTTAACATGCTTATAATATAATCGTTATAAATTCGTAATTTATTTTTCATCTCTTTATTTTTTTGTCTACATTTCATAATCGAATGTCATTAAAAATTTGTAAATATCAATCTGAAAATATCATACAAAATTTAAACTTTGATCATTTGAATTCGATGCCATTCGCGAACGATAATCACGATGTACTGATAATTATAATTTAATTAACTATTTAACGATTAATTTATTTGTTATTTTGAATAGCCTTTATTTATTAAAAGATTTTTAATTATTTATAAAATAAAATTGCATAAGTTATCTAAAAAAAAAAAAAAAAAAAAAAAAAAAAAAAAAAAAATATATATATATATATATAAAAATTCTAACGTTATGCAATCGTTAATCTATTAATAATTTTTATACTCTGCGCAATAAGCGATTTATGAATATTTCCTGTAGAGCGAAAGATGATATACTGTATTATGTTTCATATTTAAAATACATTATAATTATTGTGATAAAATTGTAGTAATTTTTGCCACCGCAAAAATTACGTTGATTAAAATCATCAATAAATAAATAATGCATAGTATAGAGTTAAAATGTACCCAATAATTTAGAATTAAATCACATAAAAATAATAAATCTTAATTAATTGAGGTATATTTTTACATAACTTATTAAATATATAAAAATTTTTAGACTAAAAACTAATGAAGAAATTTTTATAATTTATCTATAAAATATATGATTTAAAAGTAAATGTCGATGTAAATTAGTATTAAATTTGTATTGTTTGTATATAATATTTAAAATTGTAATTGATAAAAATTGTATTTATTTTGCTTGTTTGGTCATTATTTTCATATACGCAATGAAATGTTGTCTCAATGATTATTCTTAAAATAATTGAAACAAATCTCTGAAATGTAATAGTTTTCTTTACTTTGTTTATTTCATAACAAATACTCGCACGCAATTTTTTCTACATTTTTCTTACCACAATTAGCAAAATAGAATTCAAATTGTTTATATAATCTATTTCATAATACAAATTGACAATTACATGCTCATGCTACAAAATAACTATTTTATCTACTATCGTTTTCCTATTTAACAATATCCGTCAGCATCTATTATAGAAGAGTATATTAAAAATAAAATTAATCGTCTTGTGTACAATTGTGTAAGGGCATTAAGTTTCTTAACTTTAGTTTCTGTTAATTACATTAACTATTTGTCAATTAACATTGAGGAGACTTTCAGTAGTCTGTCAATAAAAGTATCGTTGCAAATAAAATCACACGAATTCAGTGTCAGTTTAATACGAAATGCACTCATCCATATAACTTTTAGCGCTTCCAATTTCTTTAGGACCCGTTTAATGGGCGACTCCTTCCCCGTCACTCATTAATTCATTCGCTCATTCATTCGTTCGTGCAATGTGGCATCTCACATATATACAAAAAGCCCGTAAGCAAATAGAGTAGTCGCAGCCTTAGATTGTCGATCGCGCGTCGTCTCTGCCGACGATGAACTCCAACTTCTGAAAAGGCAAAATAGGAGGAAACGAAGCTAAACGAAACGACACACCACCGACCGACGAATGACTCTGTATCGTCGTCTCCGCGATCCCTCCCCCTTCCCCCCTTAACCCCCTCCAGTTACACCCCAATCCCCCCTTCCCCTCCCAACCTCAAATCACCACCTCGTCCCACCCCCTCGCGGCCCAGCGCACCTTCCCCTCCGCGCCGGCTCGTCGTCCAGCCGCCCCGACGGTGCCTCGAGCGCAACAGATGAGGGAATTTCGATCGAGGCTCGCGAGGCGAAGGTGTAGCGGGAGTCAGCGGCGCTTCTCCTCAGTCAAGCCGTTGACAGCCGCCCTGGTGGTTCTTCTCGCGCATTGGCTGTCGCCCTTGGGCCGATCGGTGCTTGCGCCATCCCCCGGAGCACTGACTAACCTCGGCCGGTTCGACAACGCCTCGCCGACAGCACTTCGTCCAGGTAGTAGACAATACACGTCGGATCGTCGACGTCGGCATT